ACTTGAGCGGTGGGTGCTGCAGGCCAGGGCAGGCTAGGCCTCCCCTAATCCAGGTTGTGGTCCTATCCAGGCTCTATCCCCAGGCCCTGCCATCACTTCCCCTCTCCACCAAAGCCAGCGGGGGCAGCTTGGGCCAGACCCTTGAAGCGTGGAGCTCCACTGGCTGGTGGCGTGGCCTGGCCAGGTTGGGCCAATGCTCAGAGCTGGCCTGTGGCCCAGGGCTCAGAGCGGGAAAGCCGATGGGCCGTGTAGCTAGGGCAGATTGGCCGGTGGCCTGGGGCAGTTTGGCCAGGTTTCTCCGCGACAAGGGGGCTCGGAGCTGTGGTGGGCCAGGGAGAGTGGGGAGGGGGGTGGAGAGAGGGGCTAACCTCACCCAACGGGCAGGGGTCACGTGCCACCGATGCTGCTCGAGTTTGTCTAAGTGTAGTTGTGTTCTCTTGCTCAGCAGGAGTCTCCCTCCAGGCACAGGCCTTCCCCAGTCCCCTGGCGGAGCCACCGGCAGGGCTGGAACCTGCTGCTCCGCGGGAAATGCACACAAGTCCCAACAATAAAGCGATCGTGCTCCTGAGGGCTGGGCAGGGACTGGGAGGGCCAGAGGATTTCAGGTTCCCGGGTGCTCCACTGGGGAGGGGCAACTGATGACGGGGGAAGCTGGGGGGCTGAAAAATCTCCATTCCCTGGTGATGTCGGCATTGCAAAGCCGGGTTTACGTTCACGCCGGCTTTTGGGAGCACGGGCTGGCGTGTACCAGGCCCAGGCCCGGAGGCGTGTGCTAGCCAAAGGGCTGTGCTGCTCCTCACGTTGTCAGGGCGCAGTTGTAGGTTTCCAGTCCCCCCCGGCGTTCCCCACTCTCCCCTGCTCCTTCCTGGGATGTTCATTTACAAATTTTGCACCTCGGCAGAGTCTTTCTGGGAGGGTTCCCCTAGCCCTTCACCCTCACCCCTATTCTCGCCCTCAGTTTGCAGGGAGGAATTCAGGGGGCCAGAGCAGGTCGGGGGTTTGTCCAGAATCACACAGCACATTCGTAGCAGGGTGAGGAGTAGAACCCAGGGTCCTGACATCTCTCCGCTCACTCCAGCTGTTAGACCCCGCTCTTGCCTTCGCCTCCAGAGATTTGCTTATCTCCATCACCACAACTCGTGTGTGCCCAGGGCAGCCAGCATGTTGCAGATCGGCTGTTAGATGGAACCGGCGTTCAGACGGAGCGTGTCCCTGTAGCAGGGTCAGCCTTCACCTCCCAGGGGTGCCCCCGGCCGAGGGTGGGTTCCTGCACTGCCTCAGGTTGTTAGCCGAAAGCTTCTTCAGCAACCCAGCCCTCCAGCCGAGTCCACTCCTGCGTATCACACGCCCCTTCTGGGGTATACGCTTAAGAGGGGCCCGTCCCGGTGCCCTCTGTAGAGTGTCTCTTGTGTGTGTTTCTCAGGCTGTTACCCCACTCTGGACATGAATGGCTTCCCCTCTTGGGGACAACTCCTTTGCCTTAGCTCAGGGCTTTATCTTCCATTTCATAGTCTCTAAGCAGCTCTCCCCAGGCAGCTGCTCCCTCAGGCCAGTCAGTTACCCCTGGTCCTCTCTCCCTTTGGTCTGTGCTGCAACTGCACTGACTTCTTATCTAGTCCTTCCTGGCCCCTGATTGGCTGGTTTCTTCCCAGCCCCTCTAGCCGGCCAGGAGGACTTCTCTATGGCTCTTTCTGGGCTCAGGGCTTGGTCCACTCCATTACAGTCCCCCAGCTGCATCCGTGACTAACAGCAACTTCGGCATAACGTTCTGAGGATAGGGTAGCACCATGCTACTGCTATGGCTTCAGCCAGGACATTTTACACTCTGCAGTGGCTCAGACATGGAAGCTGCCCTGAGACAAGGCCCTGTTTTATTACTCCTCTGCTTCTTAGCCATCGACTCCCATTCTGTATGGCCCTCATGCTGTCCCTAACCACACTCTTTAGACCCATTCCCCTTCCTCCCCCATCCTCAGGCTGCGAGTGGCTATCGGTGCCCTACTGACCCCTACTGTGCCTAGCTACACGCTGCATCTCCTGCCATTCTCCATGTGCTATAGTCAGCATATCTCCCTATGGTTGCCTCTCGCTGCACCCCTCTTTGGCTGTGCCGCTACCTGCTATTACCTGCCCCGTCTGGTGCTTCCCACCAATCTCCTGACCACACCTCCCTCTCCCACAAGGTGCTCTCTGGAACTGGGGGGAGGCCCCCCTTGTAACACAGCAGTGGTTCTGTTGGGCCCGGATGCCTTACCAGCCCCTGTCCTGAGAACTTCCGACGTGTTCCTCAAGCCCGTGAAGTCAAACTGGTAAAGTCTCCAGGTGCGCTGGTCGGAGACTTCAATGGAGTACCGCCTCCAGCGGTAGATAATCTCCTCTCGCGGGTAGCCATCTGGAGGTGGGAGAAGGACACAGGCCAGGGGTGAACGGACTTACCACCTGGTGCAGAAAGAAGGACCCTGCCAGCCGTCTGCTCCTGAGACAACTTGGCCCTGGGTGCTCCATTTCGGTTGCTATTTCATCTTTCCATGGTCCTCGTGCCCACAGGCCCTGAGCACGAGAGGGGCCCTGTAGTTCTAGTCGCTGTGCAAACACACACAAAGCCCTGGGCTGGGATTCTCATTGAGTCAAAGCCCATTATGATTAATGAGTCTGATCTCCTGTAGATGCCCGATTCCAAGGGCACCTTTCAAAACCCAGCTATGGTCCCCCAAAGAATCCACACCCTAAAGTGGCAAGACAGGCAAGGGGTAACACGCATGACAGCCAAGCCAAGGGCTGGCTCCCGAGCCGGGGGAAATCAGTAGGTCGCTGTAGAGCCCATTAAAATGGCCAAAGGGTTCTGTCTTTTGTAGATCCGGTCCTTTAACGTGGCTGCCCTCCCACCCCTAGATGCAGGTGTCTGAGCTAGCAGGCCCCACCACTGCTGACCTAACAAACCTGCTGGCACGTTGCCCCCCCTCCAAACCAGCTGGTTTTAGCTCTGCCCATATCCACAATGAGTGTATTTTTCGCTCGTGCCTTGGCTCAAGTCTTCTGCTACAGTCAGAGTTAGGGGATCTCTGTTAGTTGCCCCTGGGACCCAGCCAAAACAAAAACAAAGCCACCATTCACTCTTCCCACCCCTCCCATTTTTCATTCTTTTTTCTTCCTCTCCCTCCTCTATTATAAGTAATAAGAAGTAATGGGAAAGCAAGTGAGGTACCTTGGTTGTCTGTGTAGCCTCACTGTTTTTCACAGACCAACTGAAAATTGCACAGGGTCTCGGAGGACCACTTCCTGAGCTTTCCAAATAGTGTTTGTACCTTTCGCTACCTAGTGTCAAGTGCTTTGGATAAGAGCGCTTTATAACAAAACCAGAGCAACCGTTCCTCGGTCCTCCTGAATGGGTGCTTGGAGCACAGTTTGAGAACGTCTGGCCTAGAGGGAAGTGGAATTTGCATTAAGCCAACATGAAAAATGTGTAAAAATAAAATGTGTCGATCTGTGCTGCACATCTACAGGGATGAGCTAGACAGTGCTGGGTCCTGCCATGTTATGCCTCATAGGATGAAGTTTACGGGGGAGGTCGATAAAGGGCTTTCAGGTCAGTGCGGGAGCATCCAGACTAGCGCGCTGAGCCGACATACAGCTGATCAGCTGTTTGTCGGCTCAGCGCGCTAGTCTGGACACTCCTGCGCTGACCTGAAAGCCCTTTATCGACCTCCTGGCTCCGTCGATGGAGCCATGTAGTATAGACATACCCTTGGACACATGAAAGTTAACTTCCTCTGAAGAAACATACTCTACCTGAAAAAGAATATTCAGCTAGTTTTCTTTCTAGACTTTTTCTTTACAAAATCATCAGTTAAGTCATAGTATTTTGTCAAGAGGCACTTTCAATGGTCAATATTGCTGAACTTGTCAAATGTTCCTCCGTGCTCGCTTGTTCCCCCACGATCCTCTCTGCAGAGGGATTGGCGTCTTGCCCCCAGAGCGGCTGCCCCCTGCACTGGGGAGGGAAGGTTGCTGGACTCAGTGCAGGACTTCCCAGCCCACGGCCCCATATCGTTGGGGGAGGTGAGGCTCCGTGTCAGGAAACGGTATGTTTCATTGTAAATCCGCCCCTCACGTCCCCATGCCTGAGTGCTCTAGCCCCATAGACCTACACGGCCCTGCAGGCCGAGGGGCTGAGCGACTGCCAGTCCTTGTCAGAGGCGACTGAAGAGCAGTGGGTCCCTTCTCTCGCCATAAACTGGCTCAACTCAGTCTGAGTCAAAGCAGGCCGAAAGATGTAAAGGTTCAGAGCCAGCACTCACGGGTGGGGTGTGAGCCCTGTCACGCGTGGAGGTACACGGCGTGGGAATTGTGGGTTTGCTGACAGGCTTGTGGTGCTCTGGCACTGCTGCATGGGAAATCGGGGGGCTGCAGGATAGGAGTGAAAAGTTTAGTGCCGGGAGGCAGTGTAGCCTAGGGGATAGGGCACTGAACTACATCTCAGGAGATCCCCCCATTCAGTTCCTAGCATTGCCCCTGCTTTACTGGGTGACCATAGGTGAGTCAGTTCCCCTCAACATGCCTCAGTTTCCCCATCTATAAAGTTTAGCGCTGGGAGGCAGTGTGGCCTAGGGGATAGGGCACTGAACTACATCTCAGGAGACCCCCCCCCCCATTCAGTTCCTAGCATTGCCCCTGCTTTACTGGGTGACCGTCAGTGAGTCAGTTCCCCTCAACATGCCTCAGTTTCCCCATCTATAAGCACTTTGAGCTCTGTGGCTGAAAACAGTGAAGTGGCTGAGACTCTCGAGGTCAGGGCTGGCCGAGGCCCCTGGACGGGAGTATCGGGGTGCTGCCAATCAGGGCTGAGATGGGGGAAGCCGTGGGTGTGCCAGGGCAGGAGGGAGGTGTTTGAAGGCCCAGAGTGAGGGGACAGCTGTGGCATAACGGGGGGCAGGGAGGGGCCGCAGCCACACACAGCTGGTGTAAACAGCAACGGGGCGCAGTGGCAGCCAACCCGAGAGGCTACCAGAGGACTCACCAATCACTTTCCTTCACGCTGAAATGCAGTTCAGCAAATCCTCAGCTGGTCTAAAACGGGGCGTGTCAGCAACGGGGCGCAGTGGCAGCCAACCCGAGAGGCTACCAGAGGACTCACCAATCACTTTCCTTCACGCTGAAATGCAGTTCAGCAAATAACTACCGCTCCGACCCTCAGGCGCCGGGCAGCACGGGCTGCCTTAGCTCGTCTTTCCTGGGTAGCCGTGGGCAGGCGCATGCTGAGAGCGCGCGGGCC